ATATATATTATATATTATATATTATTATATTATATATTATATATTATATTGTGAATTAATATTATATTATTATACGTATCCTGAAACATTCCTATTAAACTTACACTAACTTGTGATCGTATATAAACGTAACACGTGTTTAAACTATCAGATGAGAAAAAGAGATATGTACTACACGTATACATAAAATACGTAACACATAGATCGAACAAATGGAATATATATTGGAAGGTTTACTAATACTATCATACTTGTTATCGAACGTGCGACAATGAGCAGCATTGAACAACCATGACTTGGAAAGTGGTTTATATTCTCAAACGATATATATCAAGACAACTACTCGCGGTCAAGAAGGAAGGGTTTTTCTTGGCATGCATTGCTGTATAAAAAAAAAAGTAAAAATAAAAAGAGAGAGATGGAAAATATCGACGGGTTCCAACGAGATATCGTGGTCTCGATCATTCCTTATTTCCAAGGACGCCTAGTGTTAGGGGTAAATAAGTTCGATGGTGTTAGGTTTTAAATGGAAATTCCATTGGTCGACTCGCACCGACCAAGTTAATAATTCATTCAGATAAGGAACCCGTTCGAAATAGAGACAACTCATCCGTAAGCGCTAAAAAGCGTCCACGACTTCAATTCCTACTGCTACTAACAACACAAATAACACACGTTATCTCTCTACGACATTCTTATTCAATTGTAAATCTTTTTCGCGTGCTATTTTTTCTTTTTTTCTATTTCGAGAATAAAAAAATGTTTTTTGATAAGGATTAACGTCACATGACGACAATAACGACGAAGGCTGACGTAAGTTTTCAATTTCATTTTAATCGTTCGAATTATTGATTATCTAAGGATCGATTGATTTTATCTCGAGCTCGTGTTTCATTATTTTTTATGATTTTCTACTTTCAATTAATCTTTATACACAAGATATATATATATAATACAAAGTGTATGTGTGTGTATGATAAAATATGACAAAAGTTTACTAAACAATTACTGTATACATTTAATTGAAAAACAAAATATACAAATGTGCAATCTGAATCTACAACAATTTATATCTAACATAAAAAAAAACATTCGTATAATTATAAAAAAAAAAGAAAAATAATATTTGATTTAAATATTTAATAATTAGATTTACACAAATATCGAAAGTATATAATAATATCTACGAAAAAAAAAACACGAGAATGAAGAGAGAGAGGGGGTAGGTTGTGGTGGAGTGGGAGGAGGAGGTCTCTTCCCGTTTATCGATTGGCGAAATTCTATGGCAAAATTCCAATTGGAAATTTAAACGTGAATTGTCTCTTCCCTTCGATTACGTAGTCAATTTCTTACAAGAGCTTTATACGTAAGGATTTAACCTTTATCAACCCTAAACCATTCTCACCCACCCCCACCTCCCCACCCCCTTCCCACCACCCTTCTTCTTCGTAGTTATCTCTCGTATAGCGCGAAGTATTACGGCACGTCGATTACGGTAATCGAGAAACTCCATGGCGATAATCGAACATGAAAGAAAAGTGCCGGAAGGTTTGCAGGAAGATCAAAATTAAGACTAGAAGAATTTTCCTAGACGTTCATGGTAGATAAAGGTAAGAAGAAGTAGGTATATATATATATATATTCGATGTATATACTAGGGTGAATCCAAAGATAGTTTTGTTCAAAAACCCTTAGGCCATAGTTTTTATCCATGTGGTAATCATAAGGTCAACCTCTCACGCTATACTATTACTACTACTATTACAACTACTATGCCTTTTACAATCTCACGATTTTCCTATTCTCCTATAGATCAAAGAAATAAATCCATGGTGTTTACGGTATATGTACATACACCGAGTAATCCCAAAAGTTACTTTATTCAATTGAAAAAGTAATTTATTGGTTAGATATATTTGAACACGATTGCACGAAACCATAAGAAAGATACTATATATATAATATAGTATATATGTATATTTATATCTCACGTAAAAAATTATAATAATATAATAATATAATAAATTATATATTAATATATATAATTCTATTAATAAATGTATATAGTAGATTTCTTCCTATTTTTTTTTTTCTATAAAAAACAATATTGTAAAAAACTTAAAAAAAATTCTTTTAAAAAATAATTCATACAAAATTTGACGCGTGAATAATGAATCGTTACAACAATTTTTCCTCAAACATTAAAAATAAAAACATTTTAGTTGTTTTAATTAATTGTTCTAATATAAAACTAATATGTAAACGTTATTATTAAGATACCTTTTAGTCTATCGATACTAAATAGAAAAAAATCTAAACGGTTAGTTGATTTAATCGTGAATCACATTAAATTTCACGGTTCGGTTAACGCGCAACAAATATTTTCCTACGAGGGTGAAATAACGAGCCATCGTAAAAAAAACAAGGATCACGATCACGAAGAAGTTACTTGGGTGTATCATTACTAGGCTTACGCGTTGCACTAATGCGGAAATTGTCGGCTTCATAGCACGATCAAAGCCATGGTGTAATTTTAGGCTGAATCCTTTAACACACGTTTGGCTCTATGATATTAAACAGCACGACTATATCTATAAAATAATTTCCAAAAAAGAAAAAATAAAAAACCACTCTACCCAAAAAATAAAACATTTCTCTTTTAAAATATCCAACAATTTTCCCATAAAAATACTTTCCCCATTTAAATAAATAAAATAAATACGCGTGTAAACCCATATTATTATCTGCTCAAAAAATTCTAACGAAGTTCAGCGTGGAATTTGATAGAAAAAAAAGAAAAAAAACAATGCTCTACCCAAAAAATAAAACATTTCTCTTTTAAAATATCCAACAATTTTCCCATAAAAATACTTTCCCCCGAATAAATAAATAAAATAAATAAATAAATGTACACGCGTATTATTATTAGCTCAAAAAAATTCTAACGAAGTTCAGCGTGGAATTTGATAGAAAAAAAAAGAGAAAAAAAAAAAAAAAAAGATAGAAAAGAAAAATAATAAATGAGAAAAACGTTAAGAGAAAAATATATAATCATAGTCATAATTAATTACGGGGGCGTAGCCGAAGTCCGATGAAACGTCGTCATTGGGGTCGCGAGAGGTAAATCCGACCTTTCACCTCGATAAATCCATCGACCAT